TAATTAACATTTAATAACGAAATATCAAACTCTAACTAGTTATTTTAAACATTAATATGCACTTTTTCTTCAAAGTTTTTAACCCTCTTTCATTTTTTCACTCGGCGTATCCTGGACAGATGTGTATTCAGGCTTGTATGTATATTACACCGTAAATTACACCGTATATTACACTGTAAATCCTAGGATTCAAGTGTGATAAAGTAAAAGTGAGTATAACAATATAATTCACTTAATATAAACGCGAAATGAAAGCACCAATTTAATCATTAAAAATATAACAGTTAAGTCTCTGGTATACATAGGACTGAGTACGTTATATCGAAACGATTTTAAATATGCAGTCCAACAAGTCACGTGACAACCACATCCAAATAAAGGTGCTATGGAAAGACACGTATCAGAACTACATTATTTGGCTTTACGTAAGTAGTGTGAAGCCGCCGAAATTTATCTATTTTGTGAAAGATATGTAATAACTCCTTTCGACAAAAAATGTTCATGCACTCAGATCGTAAAGCTGTGTTGAGTACTTCAGATATTTATAATTTCCAACAAGAGAGGGCCTGGCATGGCCAGGTGGTTAGGGCGCTCGACTCGCAATCGGAGGGTCGCGGGCACGAATCCCCGTCACACCAAACATGCTCGCCCTTTCAGCCGTGAGGGTGTTATAATGTGACGGTCAATCCCACCATTCGGTGGTAAAAGAGTAGCCCAAGAGTTGACGATGGGTGGTGATGACTAGCTGTTTTCCCTCTAGTCTTACACTGCTAAATTAGGGACGGCTAGCGCAGATAGCCCATCGTGTAGCTTTACGCGAAATTCATAACAAACAAACCAACAAAAGAATATCCCTTCACTTAATTGCACTGAAAAACTAAAGTATTTGGATGAACTTATACTACCAGAACCAGCCAGAAAGTGATCTGCAACAAGTTGCACACCAAATATGGTAAGCGAAGTTTTACAATTTTGCGAGAGAAGATAGTCCACGAGCACAAAGGTCAGAGACAAGAGTACATGTGACAAGGCAACAGTATGCTACATAGTAAAGAAATATATCTGTGCTAAAAAGCGATACAAAGCACGTGCAGGGAGGAGTGGTTTCATTTGAGCCTGACAGCGTTACAACTGAGTATTTTGCAATGAAAACTATGCTTCAAGGCTATTTTTAAGATGTATGGTCGCCAGATAGAATACAAACGGATGTGGCTACATAGACTGTAATGACGTGGTGAGGCTCTAAAACAGTTTTAATATAATCTACCGAACCCTCTGTATAACCTTTTACGTATAACAATGAAATCTCTCGTGATAACACAAACCTGGTCATAGTAAGTACAATAATTAAGTTGACCTGGCATCAAATCCTAACTTATAACACAATCTTGGCCATGCTAAAAATAATGAATAAATATCTCAAAAATTAAGTCTAAATTGATATAACATATTTGGTTTGGTTTCTTATGAATTTCGCGCCAACTCTTGAGCTTCTCTTTTACAGTCACATTATAACGTCCTCACTGCTGAAATGGCGAGCATGTTTGTTGTGACAGGGATTTGAACCCGCGACCCTCAGACTGCGACTCGAGCGTCCTAACCACCTGGCCATGCCGGGCCCAACATATTCGAACTTTGTAGGTAAATCGACCCTATCTCCTAGTAATCAGTACTGCAGGATAAAAAATTGCAATGTTTAACAGATACAAGTCGAGGTTATGGCTCAAAGATACTTCTAGACTTTTATCAAAACGTGTAGTTAGTGCTTTGGTTTTATGGAAATTGATGTTGCGATAGTTAACAAGAAGAAGAAGAGATGATATTTTTACCGAGTAAATTCACATAATATATAATGTTGTAGCTGCTGAGACGTAAATCTGTACTGAAGACGCATGAAACGTCTCTTTACTAACAAATATTTTCAACGAATTATATAAGAAACAATCTTTCGTTTTTCACTAGTCATATCAGAATAATACTTGGCGTACAGATAACAACACAACGGGTTTATCTTCGTTCAGCAAATCTAGACCTTATCATATGTTTTATTCGTTACGGACAATTAGACAACATGCTCAACATGTTCATGAAAAGTAACTTGATTTATAGACTTTTCGAAGATTGCTATTAGCGATTATTCAGATTATTTCACAGACATTAGTCACGAACATTGATTTTTACCCTTTATAATAGTATAGATATTAGTATTGTAACATTTTACATTTATCTATGTTGACTTACACAAATATAAGACCGAGTCTTTTGGTGAATATACATTGTCTGACAAATAATACAACCTGAAGTTTACCGCATGTTTTCTCTATTTTACTTAATGAATAGAACTTTCGTTAACTTCTGTTTGGCAGCAATTGTGCGTCTAATACAAGTTGTGCAATATACGTTGTAATGAGCGGTTTGAGGAATTCATGTCAATGTTCGCTTTGTTTCAACTTCTCTAGCATTAATTAGAGGGAAATAATACGACGTGAAACTAATTACTGGAAAAACTGAACATGTACGGTAAGTTCGTTATTTTCATGGTTGATAAGGCAGAATGTGAGATTGTTCAAGAACTCAAACTTTACATGTGCTTCTCTTAATACCACGAATAATATAAACTAATTACATGAAATAATAGAAATAAGTGGTGAACTATGTAGAAGATCCTCATTTGGACTTTTGAGGAACATCAAATATTTACAAAACTTTAGAAATAAATAACGTCCTCATCTATTTTAAGCAAAACTATTCTATATTACATTTTCTTGCGTCTAGTTACAAGATACATATTTGTTTAACGAACTTAATTTTACTTTCAGCTAATCGGCGTTAAAAGTAAAATATATATATATAATATTGCGTTATTAATCCTTACCATAAAAACATGATTTGTAACTCACATAAATAAAATAGATAATAGTTATAAGTTACTTATCTAATCTATTTCACACCATAACAATCGATGTTCAAGAATATTGATGATATAAATAGCGATGAGATCAATGCTGCGTTTCTAGTATCATGAGTCCTCGTCTAAACAATAAAACAAATATTGTGCGTGTTTTAAACAGTTCTTCTTCGCGTTAAAGTTGATGATATTAAATGACGGTGTACATGTTCTTGTAATAAACATTACCTTAACTATAAGTATTTAAGAACTTGCTCAAATTTTCGGGACACAAATATGATTAAATAACCGTTTTTGTAGGATAATGAGCAAGAGTGGTGAGTATCAAAGTCATTATTAAGTATTAGTTTGGCAGAGTTCTTGCTTTTTAATTTATGTGTTTTTGTTTTTAACGGCGTCTTTTAACCAGAGTGCTCAGGTCTGTGTATTTATACATTTTACGCAAGTTCGTTTAAGTGTAAGATTCGATGCTTTCTTTACCAGTATTACATATTTATTGGTATATATTGTACACGTTATAATTTGTATTAAATTTAAAGTGTTCGTATGTATAGGTGCAATGATCACAACATATGGTGCTTAAAAGTTGTGGGTGTTAGTACTGGTGTTTAAAGTTAAAATGTTCGTGCTCGGATAATTCTAGAAGGCTTAATGAACCCGATATTTACTTAATTCTTTTACTTGCGGGTTCAATTATCTATATTAATTATATGTACCTTTCTTTTTAGACTGTTATTTAAACGCAATTATCATTTTCTATAGTGTAATGATGAGTTTTGTGTTTTAGTGAACGCTCCTGAAGAATCTGTAAAGCGAAACGTTGAGTGTGTAATTAAATAAAAAACAACATTTAGATGTTATTAGATCGTTTAGTTCTAGTACCAATACTTTTTATTTACCAAATATAAATTTTAAAATACTAGAAATAATTTTTAGGCAAGAATCATTATGAGACAACACCAGAAAGGTATTAACACCATAGCGTCAATTTATTATTTTGACTGACAAAAATGAATAGTTTAATCAAAATATGCCATTTATCACACAGAATTCTTGTAAATTAAATCTTATTAGATCTTTGTTTTTCGAAATTTTATAAATGATGCTAGTGATCTAATCCAACTTGATTGGCTAACAAGTCTTTCCTAGTTCCTTAAGCTAAAAGTTATTTTTCAGTCGTTACTTTATCATGGACTGATAAATTATTGATGAGCCAGCTGCTTGTCCGACACATATCCGTACTACTCTGCTAAGTTATTACAATATGTCCATTTCGAGATACATAAATCGCTTGTCCGACACATGCAAATTGTTTATTAATCAAATAGCACCACGATATCATAGAAAAGCAATTTTGTTTTCATAATAAGATTTTTTAAGAGTGGTACACCGTTCTGTGAAACTTGAATTTTTCTGAAGAAGCGAAAATCTAGATTGGGCGGGTTTCAAACATTCAATTCTGTTCAAAGAACAGATACCTTAGCTAACCGAGGAATTGCCATTGAAGATCGCACGTCTTAGTATTTACGTGAACGATTAATAAGGACGAAATTCGAAAGGATTGAGCTATGTTTGTTGGCTTCTAAAATTCAGAATCCCTACATTGACTTTTTGTTTAGCATTAGCGCTAACTTTAAGTACTTTTACTATACGATTTTTATATTATTATGGTGATAGAGATGCCTGTAAGGTTTATGTTATATGACCTCAAGAAATAACCTAATATAGAAACAATAATCATATTCCAGAAATCGTTTTATAAGAAACAAAATAAAACAATTTCATATATTACATTTTATTTTTCGAAAAAGCTGAAATCCGATATTGTAAGAAAAATATATCATTCTAATTTTGCAAAAGTGAAAAAGGGAACCAAATATATCTATAAGAATTACGAAAAAAATTGTGGTATTTAAAGGATATCTCAGTCTTACTGAGTGTGAGAAAACTTTTACATGTTAACCTGTTAAAGATTTCTGTTAGTTTGTATTGGAAATAAAGATAAACTCTAATAGATAAATTTTAGACACGCCAAAAAAGATGAAACATGTGTGCTTTACAGTTTCAAACAAATATTTATATTGAAACTTACCATGTAAACAAAACCAGACAGTAAGAATAACAGACCATATGTAGACCCCATAATACCCTCTTTTCTTCTGAAACATCATCTCTAGCCAAGTGTTGCTATTATCAGTAGATACAACCAGATGTTAAAACGATAACCTGAATACTTAGATTGGAAACCATCTCTACTCCGTCATCTAAGTAATCTCCTGTCACTCCGCTCTTGTTTCTAACACACCTGCGGTTATGTGAAGAAGCCTTGTCGTTGAGATCTATATATTACAGTGATTCAGGCTGTTCGCCTGTAGGTGGCAAGCCGCGTCCATTTCACTACCGAACAGGGTGGTATTTCCTCAGCAACGGAGTAGGATCGTTATGGTTATTTTCTGTTTTGCTTTTATTGAGATGTTTCGTACTTGTATCGAAAACACATAGGGGAAGGATAGTGTCAAGAGAAGAAATTAAACAAAAGAAATTCACTAACATTGTGAGAACAAATTTAATTGTTATAAGTTAAAGATGAGTATACAGATACAAATGCAAAGTACTAAATAACATACTAAAACATGAAACCTAATAAACTTTGTAACATTTGTGCCTGAAATACGGCTTTTTTCGTTTTAAACGGTAAGACTGAATTATGTCTTTTCAAGCGTGATGCTCTCCTTTAATAAAAACAGACAAGTGCATTAGTATTTAGTGTTTCGCTAATGTTTTTACGTGACTCATTATCGTCGAGTTTGAACGTTTCAACCAGATACGTGACTTTTGTATAACATACTATCTTATTTAATAAGTAATATTGGAATCTTCAAGTTCTAGACATTTATATTACACGTCTTTATGATCAAAAAATGTAGCAATGTAGGCATTTCTATAGTTTTGTTTATCTGTAAGGTAATTTTCGTGTTGACATGACTTTTGATGAGGAATAGATAGTTTTTCATTTCACATATCGTTTCTAAATAGTAATAACATTCTAATGTGTTTAATGTTGTGCTGCTTGTTTAAAACAATTAAAGAGTTTGTAACATTTATCTATCAAAAGGCAAAAAGTACTGTGTAAAATAATCTTCCTCGGTTCATCGTTACACAAATCAGACATCTGATAATCAGGAATTTTTTTTAAATGCATATGACTAGTCATTCATCCTATGGTATATACAATTGTCTCACAATATCGTGTGTCATTTGTCCAGACTGCTCATGAATCATGGCCAGACGTCACATAACACATTTTGAATCTTTCGCTCATCTAGAGAGTCATTATACGAATGGCAACTAACAAATCACGAGCGACTGTTTCGAATTGGCTACAAGTATCAAAAAGATAGTTAACACAATTTGGTAACCTTTTCCAGCCCAATTATATAACTGCTCAGACACCAAGAGAAGAAAAAGACCACCATATACAATCTGTCGATTTTAGCTCGTTGAAATCGTAAGCTACATGATTGGAGACTAAATCATATTTTTACAGCCACAAATAGATTCTATGTTGGTGTACTGATAATTAGAACTAGATCTTTAGAAGGCTAATCTATACGACAGGTGCCAATTAAGTGCTTTTTGGTCACAGCAAGACATACAACAACACACCTCCAATAGTGTCAAGAAAATATCCGTGGAACAAACACTCGTAAAGCAATATTTGCTTAACAGATAATTCACCTTATTTTGCAAACAGATGATAAGCTTATACTTATATGAAGATAATTATGAACCATATCCTGCTCGTTTTTATAGAGAATATAACGTATATGGTGGTGGTTGAAGTATAGAGTAAGTAGAAATAAGCACTGGTTGGTGTACTGACCTTTATAGCCTGAGGAATAGTATCATTACTGTCATAACATGCTATCCCTCAGGCTATAGAGGTCAATACGCCCATATATTATAGAAACCACATACTACAACACTTTAGTCTGCCGTATGTTGGTACAACTGACCTTGACTTAACCTTTATCGATGATAACATCCACCTTTGTTTTATTAAACCACTCGACATATTCGGTAAAGAAAAGATTAACAGAATGGAGTGGTTTGCATCCTCGCCGGCTTCAAACACATTGAGCATGTATGGTTTGTTATTAAGAAACACGTCTCATCCTATCACTCGACACATTCGGTAAAGAAAATATCAACAGAATGGAGTGGTTTGCATCCTCGCCGGCTTCAAACACATTGAGCATGTATGGTTTGTTATTAAGAAACATGTCTCATCCTATCACTCGACACATTCGGTAAAGAAAAGATTAACAGAATGGAGTGGTTTGCATCCTCGCCGGCTTCAAACACATTGAGCATGTATGGTTTGTTATTAAGAAACATGTTTCATCCTATCACTCGACACATTCGGTAAAGAAAAGATTAACAGAATGGAGTGGTTTGCATCCTCGCCGGCTTCAAACACATTGAGCATGTATGGTTTGTTATTAAGAAACACGTCTCATCCTATCAAGTGACTTCAGGTAATAAAAGGCAACTGGAAACTTCTCTTTTGGAGGAAAAGTCGAAGATACATCAGAACTTTGTCAAAAAATCACTGATTTAACCATGCAACATTGGTGTCAGGGTGCCTTGACTTTGTCAAAAAAAAACATTGATTTAAGGATGCAACATTGGTGTCAGGGTGTCTTGCTCTTCGTGCCGACCATGTTGAAGAGAGATATTATTAACTGTAAAAGTCACATAATCTATCATATGACCTCCACAGAAATGAACTCTAAGTGGGCGGTTGTCATGGCTTTATAACAATGGTATTGATTTGTCATTGATAAAATATCATAAGTACCAGCTTGCCCATGAAGAAGAAAGGTCCACCTTTCGAAAGCGCTCGAGTTACAGGGTTTTTATTCATTTCTCTCAAGACTTCTTGAACCTACTTGTTTTTCTAACATCATATAAGGCCACATGGGTTATCAAAATATTATACTTGTCATTTTATCAAAAATATTTCATTTTACATTTTAATCGTAAATTAGTTACTCTAAAATTGCTTTGTGCAGTATAGTTTCAGTAAGTAAAAAATGTTTTCGTCTAAATCTGTTTGTTCGTGGTAATTATAATATGTGAGATCATTTTCCAAACCGTAGGTACATCTAGTTGATTTATAACTCGTTTCTCCATTCAGATATTTTAAAGAATTTATAACCCTTGAATAAGGAAGAAGAATAACACTATAAACAACAACCATAAAGTGGTTTGGTTTCAATTTCTCGCAAAGCTACACGAGAGCTATCTGCGCTAACATCTCTAATTTAGCAGTGAAAGGCTAGTCATCAGCATCCACCGCCAACTCTTGGCCTATTCTTTTACCAACGAATAGTGTGATTGACCGTCACTTCATATCACCCTCACGGCTGAAAGGGTGAGTATGTTTGTTGGGATGGGGATTCGAACCCGATCATAAAGTGAAACGTACAAATACTTTATTTACAAGCGTACTATTATACTTGACCTGTTATTTTAGGATGCAAACCTCCAACAATGCTGTTTCTAAAAGGTTCACCAATCCAGTTTCTAACGTTGAACTTTAACACTGCTATTGTTGAAGCTATCTATGTTTACATAATGAGGTCAGTAGAAGAAAAAAAAAGAGAATGTAAATATATCTATTACGATTACATTATTAATATGCATTTGACTTTTGAATTTTAAATTTATAAATTAAACGTCCATTTTTTAAATAGTTGGAGCTCTTTCTAGTTCGTTATATATATCATTAGAACGTTTTATGTCATTTTATCATTTCTACTTCTTTACTCAGAAGATATTACAGAATATTTTAATGATAAATACATTTTAATATTAATTTTTTCTCAAAGCCTTCTTTACATGGCATTACTGACAAAAATATCTCTTCATTTTGTCATATTTGTTAGCTGATACGAACTTCTCAACTAATTGTACATGGTGATGTAATAATAATGATATCTATACATGTAATGTCAGTTACAATATATAAATCACATACGCACACATAAATGGTTACGTATTTCAATGTTAGACAGTTGTAATTTAATATGGCCATTACAAATGTTTACTGGGATATTTTAGGAATATTTTGAAATTATATGGCTCTATCACAATTATCTGTAATATGCTCTAAAATATATATTAACTAAAATGTCTTAAAAGTTATTTTCGTACGGATATAAAAATTGGAACGATTCCTTCAGAATATTTAGAAATTCACTGAAGTTAAATATGTTTGTAAAATAAAATCCTTATGTAATTCCCCAATTGAATGAAACAGTTTTATTTATATTTTGGTCAACTTTCTAGCTTCCTGTCTCTTCAGGAGCAGTATAGTCATACCGAAATATTGTTATATTTGTTTCTATAATTGTGTACACTGCTCTTAAAAAGGGTTAGAATGTGAAATTTTGAGGATAAGATACACTTCTGACCAACTTTTATCATCTTTATTATATTTTTCGACATTTTTTTTTCAAAGCACTATTTGCTTGAACTAAGAATTATGTAGCGAAGCTTTGAAGCGATACTGGAATTTGATTGTCATTCAGAATTGATTGTTTATACATAGCCATCAATTGAATGAAACAGTTTTATTTATATTTTGGTCAACTTTCTAGCTTCCTGTCTCT